TATCCAGTATGATTATCCTGGTTAAATCCATGTATCATCTTTGTATCTAAAGTTATGAATATTGGTTATGATTTGTCTCTCAAACATGTGTTTTGTTCTGAGTAACACCCCCTAGATAGATTTACATCACAGCTGGACAGCTATGTGTTGACAGCAAATTAAGGACACTCCACTCTCACAATGGGCCATTGAAGAAATGTATCCCGCCCAGACAGCTCATCCTAGAGATGCCTGAGACAGCAAGGTGCCAATGCCTGCCCCTATGATTCAGCAAACCAGGTAAGGATAGGTGATGAGGACATGTGACCTAAGACGTCATCTTTTACCAGTAACTTCCCATGCTCGTGGCAGAGGTTATAAAAGGCACTTGAGACATCTCCATGTTGCTTCTTTCCCACTGCAATTCTGTGGACTGGAAGGTCCTCAGTCCATAATCTTTTGGAAGTTACCAGGGAGGCTTTTGCAAGCCAGCAATCTATTCCATCGCTGCTACAAACCTGATACAAGGACTTTGCGATCAGTTGTGTGTATGTGATCTATTAACCATTTTAACTCGACTCTCTTTTTTTATTAATAAATCTTTAGTTTGTTTACTAAGGATTGGCTGACAGCAGGATATTTGGGTAAGATCTGAGATCCAGATTGACCTGGGGGTAAGTGTCAGAGCCTTTGGAATCAGTAAGAACCTCAAATATGGTAAATTAGGTTTTCAATAACCCCTCACTATATTAGACCTGTTTGTCTGGATGGGAGCCAAGAGCTGGAATGCCTAAAGGGGACCATCTTTGGCTTCTGGTTAACCAGTGCGGTCTTGCATAAGCTTTTTTATTATTTTCTTGGTGAATCTAATTCTAGAATAAACCACCAGTTTGGGGGATTGTCTGCCTTTGCAACCTGCCCTGAGCGTGGCGTTCTCACACAGTGGGGTCCACCCCAGGCACTCGGTCACAGGGAGCATGGACAGTAACACTGTGATTCTAGTCAAAAGAACTCAATCATGGCGCTATGTTAACAAACACAAATTAAAGGGACCCAGCTGTATCTTACCACAATTTCTGCAGTTTACATTTTGGGTGTTTCAGTCCCTCACATAGCATCTGCACTCCTGAATCTTCCAGCTTTTCCTCCCTCAGGTCCAGCTCAGTTAGGGTCTGGCTGGTGCTGAGAGCAGAGGAGAGCTCCCCACAACACGCAGCTGTGAAATTGCCAGCCCGCAATCTGTGGGAGTCAGAGATACAGAGAAAAGGAGGACTTGTGGCATCTTAGAGACTAACCAATTTATCTGAGCATAAGCTTTCGTGAGCTACAGCTCACTTCATCGGATGCATTACTAGCTCACGAAAGCTCATGCTCAAATAAATTGGTTAGTCTCTAAGGTGCCACAAGTACTCCTTTTCTTTCTGCAAATACAGACTAACACGGCTGCTACTCTGAAACCACAAATACAGAGAGGAAGCAGTGCTTATCTTTGCTCCCTTCACTGATGTCAGTGTTGTCTACAAGGAGTTTCTTTACTCTGGACATGCACAGATACATCACAGTGCTCCCATTGGCATGACAGCCCCTGAGGGTATTCCTTTCCACGGGCACTTCTTCGTCCAGAAACTAGGACTTCTCTCTCCCCACCCTTCCCCTGCAGATATTAGGACCTCTCCCCACGCCCCTCCCTGTCTATGGCCAAGGGGGGCTACCCCCCCCATTGCACCGCGATCCTCCACCCCCAAAATGGGAGAAAGGGAAGATTGGTGCTAGGAAAGCTGCCCTCCTATGCCACCTAGGGCCCTTAATTGCCTTGGCCAGTCCTGAGCCTGGGCCCATCCTGGGATGATCCTCTTCCTCTTCTTTCTCCTCTGTCCTGTTCCCTTTCTCCTCCTCCACCACTGCCTCCTCCTGCCCTCCAGTTTCTCCCCCCTACACGGTGCAGTTAGGGTGGGACAGGAGGGAAGCTGCAGCTGTCATCAGTGGGTCTGATGTTCTGGATTCAACACCGAAGCCACATGTTGCGTATGGCGCTCTTACATCCCATGTGGACCCTGCTGCCCACATGATCGAGGTACCGAGAGTGTATTTACATGGTCCAGCAGGGTCCCCATAGGGTTGTTACAGCACAACACACAGCCAGTGGTTTGGGCAGTGAACTCCAGCAGTGCCCTGAACTTCATTCAACATTGCCACAGCTTGCGTCCCATCAGACTCTCACCGCGCAGTCTGGGCACTGCCCCCAGAATGTCCCCCGCGGCTGCAGCACTGTTTGGTGCGCTGGTGAGACCCACGTGGTGGTGAGTCTCTCTCTCTCTCTCTCACACCCACCCACCCACCCACCGAGTTAAGTCTGAATTAGTAGCTACATGTAAAAATTGGGAGGAGTATTAAAAATTGAATTGCCTCCTTTTATTGCCTTTTATGTTCTTTGCTAGGTATAACTCTTTTTGTGCCTTAGCCTTTCTGATTTTGTCCCTAAATGGCTGTGCTATTCTTTTGTACTACTTCTGAGCCATTTGTTCATCTTTTCTCTTTTTGTAGGACTCCTTTTTGATTTTCAGGTCGTTAAAGAGCTCCTGATGGAGGCATAGTGGCCTCTTAGTATTCTTCCTATTTTTCCTTGGCGTCAGGATAGTTTGCCATTGTGCCTTTAATGTTGTCTCTTTGCCAGCTCTCCTGAACTCCTTTATCCCCTAGATTTTCTTCCCAGAGGAGCTTACAAACCAGTTCTTTATGTGTGTTAAAGTCGACTTTTCTGAAGTCCAATGTCTTTATTCTGCTGCTCTCACTCCTTCCTTTCCTTAGAATCATGAAATCAATCATTCCATGATCCCTCTCACTCAAACTGCCTTTAACCTTCAGATTCAGAACTGATTCCTCCCTGTTAGTCAGAATCAAGTCTAAAATGGCTGTCCTGGTTACTTTTTTCTTTAAAAACAACAACAACAAAAAAACAAACAAACAAAAACAAAAAAAAACCTGAATGAAAGAACCACAATATCCATTTGGATAAATAGCTTTCCACATAACTCTATTGTAGTGAAACAAGGCAGTACAGTTTTCACCAAGTGTTCTTCTTGGGTCTTGTACAAACAGTGGAACACCTCAAGCTCAATGCACAGGGAAAAAGTCTTTCGTCTATGCAGAATAACATATTTCAGCTGTTAAAAAACTGATTTTTTTAGTTCAGGTAATACTTACTGATATAGCCACTTTGTTGATCTTGGGAGCTCTTCTTCTGCATGGTCTTCAAATCTAAATGAACATTCAGATATAAGAAATGACTCGAGTCTATGACAATGCTTTACACAGAATGAAAGAACCATTTGATCCATTTGGGTAAGTTCATTTCAACTTATGTGTAGTTCTGTGAGATGTTCCAATGCACTTGTCACAAAATTTTCTTCTTGGATCTCATACAAGCAGTGAAACTCCTCAAGTTCAGACATCAGCTCATCATACACAGAAGGAAAAGATGAATTGGTTTGTTTTTTTGTTGGAACCCACTTCAGTAAATCTGGCTTAATTTTAGGTGAAGAAGTGGAAGTGGAAGATTGGACATATGACCAGGGAAGAGTATAAAAATATTGCTCGGGCATGTAGGAATGATATCAGGAGGGCCAAATCGCACCTGGAGCTGCAGCTAGCCAGAGATGTCAAGAGTAACAAGAAGGGTTTCTTCAGGTATGTTGGCAACAAGAAGAAGGCCAAGGAAAGTGTGGGCCCCTTACTGAATGAGGGAGGCAACCTAGTGACAGAGGATGTGGAAAAAGCTAATGTACTCAATGCTTTTTTTGCCTCTGTTTTCACTAACAAGGTCAGCTCCCAGACTGCTGTGCTGGGCATCGCAAAATGGGGAAGAGATGGCCAGCCCTCTGTGGAGATAGAGGTGGTTAGGGACTATTTAGAAAAGCTGGACGTGCACAAGTCCATGGGGCCGGACGAGTTGCATCCGAGAGTGCTGAAGGAATTGGCGGCTGTGATTGCAGAGCTATTGGCCATTATCTTTGAAAACTCGTGGCGAACGGGGGAAGTCCCGGATGACTGGAAAAAGGCTAATGTAGTGCCAATCTTTAAAAAAGGGAAGAAGGAGGATCCTGGGAACTACAGGCCAGTCAGCCTCACCTCAGTCCCTGGAAAAATCATGGAGCAGGTCCTCAAAGAATCAATCCTGAAGCACTTGCATGAGAGGAAAGTGATCAGGAACAGCCAGCATGGATTCACCAAGGGAAGGTCATGCCTGACTAATCTAATTGCCTTTTATGATGAGATTACCGGTTCTGTGGATGAAGGGAAAGCAGTGGATGTATTGTTTCTTGACTTTAGCAAAGCTTTTGACACGGTCTCCCACAGTATTCTTGTCAGCAAGTTAAGGAAGTATGGGCTGGAAGAATGCACTATAAGGTGGGTAGAAAGCTGGCTAGATTGTCGGGCTCAATGGGTAGTTATCAATGGCTCCATGTCTAGTTGGCAGCCGGTATCAAGTGGAGTGCCCCAAGGGTCGGTCCTGGGGCCGGTTTTGTTCAATATCTTCATAAATGATCTGGAGGATGGTGTGGATTGCACTCTCAGCAAATTTGCGGATGATACTAAACTGGGAGGAGTGGTAGATACGCTGGAGGGGAGGGATAGGATACAGAAGGACCTAGACAAATTGGAGGATTGGGCCAAAAGAAATCTGATGAGGTTCAATAAGGATAAGTGCAGGGTCCTGCACTTAGGACGGAAGAACCCAATGCACAGCTACAGACTAGGGACCGAATGGCTAGGCAGCAGTTCTGCGGAAAAGGACCTAGGGGTGACAGTGGACGAGAAGCTGGATATGAGTCAGCAGTGTGCCCTTATTGCCAAGAAGGCCAATGGAATTTTGGGATGTATAAGTAGGGGCATAGCGAGCAGATCGAGGGACGTGATCGTTCCCCTCTATTCGACATTGGTGAGGCCTCATCTGGAGTACTGTGTCCAGTTTTGGGCCCCACACTTCAAGAAGGATGTGGATAAATTGGAGAGAGTCCAGCGAAGGGCAACAAAAATGATTAGGGGTCTGGAACACATGAGTTATGAGGAGAGGCTGAGGGAGCTGGGATTGTTTAGCCTGCAGAAGAGAAGAATGAGGGGGGATTTGATAGCTGCTTTCAACTACCTGAAAGGGGGTTCCAAAGAGGATGGCTCTAGACTGTTCTCAATGGTAGCAGATGACAGAACGAGGAGTAATGGTCTCAAGTTGCAGTGGGGGAGGTTTAGATTGGATATTAGGAAAAACTTTTTCACTAAGAGGGTGGTGAAACACTGGAATGCGTTACCTAGGGAGGTGGTAGAATCTCCTTCCTTAGAGGTTTTTAAGGTCAGGCTTGACAAAGCCCTGGCTGGGATGATTTAACTGGGATTTGGTCCTGCTTCGAGCAGGGGGTTGGACTAGATGACCTTCTGGGGTCCCTTCCAACCCTTATATTCTATGATTCTATGAAATTTTACTGCTGAATATTTTCTCTAGGTCTTTCATTCTTTCTTCATTTAAGAGCCCAAACAGGAATCGCACTGTTAACATTAAATAATTTCTAGAGTTTCCATAGTTTTCTAATAATGTTTTTACATCTTTCTTAGGAGTCCCTGAATCTTTTGTTGTTCCCTCATCTTCCTCTAGCACATAGAACATAGCTGCAAAAAACTCTTGGAAACTCAAGTGAATGAAGCTGTAAAGACATTCACAGTCAATGTCTTTTTAAAAAATGTTCTCATTCAAAAAGAGGGGGAGAGAGTCTGCCTGATCTAAGCCCAACATCTTGATTTCTTCTTCCTCAAACAGTATCTTTCGCTTCCAGATTCCATCAGCAGCCAAGGAGTAAAGTCCCCTCAAGTTAGCTTGTAGGTGTTGCTTCATATTGCTGCTGAGGGGCTTGACTAAACTGGAAAGGTAGAGCATGTACTCTCCAGTAACTGTTTTTTAAGTTTGTGCAAGATCCTCACCTTTTTCAAGCTGTTGTTTGACAACAGTGCAGATGATCCAACATACTATAGGGACAAAGCACATGGTGAAGAGAATTTCATTTTCTTTCACAAATCATAAAGCTTGTCTTGCTTGCCTCTCATTTCCAAAGAACTTGTGGAAATATTCCTCCCTCTCAGCTTCAGAAAACCCCAGGATCTCTGCATAACGTGAACACTCCAAACACTGCCCGAGTTTCTCCAAAGTAGTTGGTCTCATAGTGATCAGAAAGTGGGATGTGGGAAGAACTATTTTCCTAAATAAACTGCTCAATATGATTTCCACTGGTTTCATCTCCCAGGGATCAGAGCACAGGTTATCTTCTGACTGATCAAGGGAAAATCTCAGTTCATCAAACCCATCAGTGATGAACAGGAGTTTTTCTGGTTTCACCAAAATCTCACTAACTGGTGTATTAGAATTAGGACAATTTTTACAAATCAGGTCAGCTACACTTCCCTGCTTAGTAAGACAGTTCATTTCCCTACAATTTATGTAGAAAACATAATCAAACTTTTCATTATAGATTTCTCCAGCTGCCCAGTCACACATGATCTTTCTTGCTGTCATTGTTTTTCCAATCCCCGCAGCTCCCAGCAGCACAACAACATGTGGCGTTTGTCCATCTTCTTCGGGTTTGAATAGGGTGTCCGTGGTGATCACAGAACGAGCTTGTTTGGTCATGATTTCTGCATGTCTCCGCCCCATGGCCATTATTGCATGTTCTCTCTCTTTTGCATGACGAGATTTGTCTACAATAGTGAGCTTTGTGTATCTTGTGTTCAGTATCACATTCTCTCCAAAACGACTGTTCATGTCTTTTATTACTCTGTATTTCTTTTGAATATCTTCTTTATACTTCTTCCTGTAATCTGAATCAGCAACATGAGACATTAGAAACACTGAACTAGAAGTTTAGGGGAAAAACAGATTTATCGTTAATCAGCTACAAAAAAAAATCTGTTTTAATCATAATAGTACCTCAAGTTGAGTTGCATCTTTCCTCATAGAAAATTCTGATCTCACTTAACTATGGGCCTGCTCCTGCAGCCCTTACTCTTGTAAGTCGCCTTATTGAAATTATTCCTGTGAGCAAAGACTGTAGGCATCACTTCATCCCTCACTGAAATGCAGCCACCTCTTGAGTGAAACCTGGCAATTGTTTCACAGTGCACAGCAATGGTACATACAAGTTAAGGCACAAAGAGGAGGAGACTCTCATATGCAACTGAAACTGTTTTGTGAAGTTACATTCTTCCCACCCAAATAAGTTTGGCCAGGACACACGCATTTGAAAAAGGGTTTGTGATAGGATCCTTAATTATCACAACTTGGTACCTCCAGTTACCTTCCTCACTTATGAGATGTGCCCCTAGCAGCAGAGTGTCCCCCAGCACCAGGCTGGTGCATTGGATCAGCACTGACCCAGAGGGACTTTATGCACAAGTCTGTATTGTAAGTTGTCCATGATAACCAGAGTCCAGCCCAGCCCATGACATACGATTGTTTGTAAAAGTCAATAAGAGTTAACTAAAGTGATGGGTACAAACTACATTGTTTAAGCTAGAAGAGCTGTGCTAAGAGGTCTGCAAGGCTTCTCCTGACCCCATGAGTTGCCATGACAATGAGCTGAGAGATTCTAGAAGTCGGAGGAAATGTTTGTAATTGAAATGGCTAAAGTTATAGCTAATTTGGTTGGAATGAGGTTGCCACCTGTTTTGGACATGGTTTGTCTGGAGGTCACTAAATGGGACATGTGGATTGGAAGGGGGGTGAGCTTTGCCATCATGGCTGCAGTTCTTGCCATCTCCTGGGATCCACCATGACACTGCTGGGCCTTCAGCATCCAGATCCTGAAAGATGTCCCAACCAGACCAAGCCAGAGAGAGGGAACCAAATGATGCCACCACCATCTCCACTGGTTTTAGCTAAATGCTGGACAGCACCTGGGAGGTTTCTGATGTCCTTTTCCTTCCATCATGTTTCTATCTATCCCTTCCTCCACCTTTCACAATGCTGCTGTGAGCCTGAGACCCCAGAGGGACTTAAAGGAAACGCCTCAAACAGCCCGACTCTGGTAAAAGTTTGGCAGGTCCAAGGGGATGTCTACAACTGACTCAGGCTTGCGGGGCTCGGGTTTCAGGGCTATAAAGCTGCAGTGTAGATGTCAGAGCCCAGGTTTCAGCCCAAACCCAGAGACCCCAAGAGAGGGGGAGAGTCTTAGAGGCCAGGCTCCAACCTGAGCCCAAACATCTCTGCTGCAATTTTATAGCCCTGCAGTCCGAGCCCCATGAGCCCAAGTCAGCTGACCCAGACCCACCACGGGTCATTTCTTGCAGTGTAGATGTACCCAGCACGGCTGATCCGACCATGTGCTGGGTCTGTGATTCTCCAAGAGGGAGGCTGCCAGTCAGCACCAGAGACAGAGGCTGCATTTTCCCTCTTTGCAGCGCTTTACTCTCCCCTTCCTGAGAGTTTGTCTTGTTCTGTGTTAAAGAAAACAAGGCAGCGACAAGAGCAGCAGCAACACAAGGATACTTTGAGGATTGATGCCAGCTGCTACCGATTAAACCCTAGGGAATGCTCTTCACCTCTAGTGCTATTACCTTAGTCACCATAAAATCTTTACAGTGTTGCCTTTGGGAGCTGTAGTCATGATCGTGCCTAGTCTGGGGAATAGATGGGAAGCCCTGTACTAATGGTATCATCTGGAAAGGCATTGAGATTTTGTTAGTGTATAACTTTGGATGTCCTGGGGATAGCTCCAGGAAAGCATGCAATTGAATAGGTAGCCAACCACGGTTCTGGGGTAACTTCCCACGTAGGCACCACATACCTTTTGCAGACAACTCTGATGTTTTTTCTTTTGGATGCAAATCTGAAAGGGAAGATACATATAAATAACATTGAAATAATTTTAGTACAAGTGCATTTATATTCTGTATAGAGCCATCTAGTGATGGAATGATGCATTTGCATCTTGCACTAAACGGTAATCCCTGACAACAGCACTGCTACCGGCAGACATTTAACGAAGTGCTGTTTGTGAAATACTGTAACGGGAGTTCTGTCTGTGTGACCTCTCTGCCTGATTCTACTCATGATTCATCCACACTTAGCGCCTCCCATAAGGAGCAGGCTACATCCTCAGGGAAACACAGAACAAAGAGTCAATTCGGGAGAGGCAATAGAGGGTTTCCCCTTCGCCCTCTCCCCTGGTGCTTGTCACGCAGACGGAAAGAAGCAAAAGACCAGAAGTCCTAAACACAGACAATGCCATGTTTATTGGGGTTAGTTTCCAAGCAAGCATATTCTGAAGCCCTTCACACCAGTCGGGCTTATCTCTATACACCGATAGAGTCTGTTCCCCAGTGTTCTGTTCCCAGCTCTGACACCGCAGAGCCTTTACCCCATGTCCCCCTTCCCAGCTGCGACACCGCAGAGAGTTTTCCCCGTGTCCCCTTCCCAGCTCTGACGCCACAGAGCATTTACCCTGCATCCCCCTTCCTAGCTCTGATGCCGCAGAGCCTTTACACCGCATCCCCCCTCCCCGGCTCTGACGCCCCAGAGCCTTTACCCCATGTTCCCCTTCCCCAGCTCCCATTCCCCTATTCCCACCTCCCCCTCCTCCTTCTTAGCAGGCCTAAATATACTGCTGAACATGCCCCTAGTCCCACCTCTTACACCTCATGGTCATGTTCTGTTTTAGGGGGTCGTGAGTCTGGGGGCTTCATCCCACCCCTTCTGTATCCCATGGGAGGGGTAAGGAGTGAGGTTTTGTTCTGGCCAAGGCCAGGCTTTCCTTTGGCTTTTAGTGTTTCTTATGCCTGCCCCCACGCCCCCATCTCCCCTGGACCCTCCTAACCAGTTGCTTGACCTTCGCTTGAGAGAGAAGCCAGGCAGCCTTCCAGTGTATGCTCATATATTACACTCCCACCATAGCCTGTAACACTTTAGCTCTGTCCCTTATCTCTTCCCATTATCCTAACAAATCCAGCTGGTTGTGGGAAATGCAGCTCATGGTTTCTTTGTCCTTCACACATATTAGTAAGGATGTAAAAGTATCAAAAGTCAAATCCAGAATTCTATCTCAGGCTAAGAAACAGGCTTATATGCTACCAAGAGGGAATCCCCTTAGAAACAGTCATTTCCAAAGCAGATTAGATTAAACAATTAAAAGGTCCATCTAGAGGACAACTCTGCCCTAGTTCAGGGGATGGGCGAGATGGCTCAGGAGATCCTTTCCAACTCTAGGGATCTAAGACAGACACTGAGGGTTGGCAGAGGGAATTTTTTATTTGGGACAATTATAATGAAGATGGAGGCACTGGGGTGGATTAAGGGGGCCTTTCCCCAATCCCAAACTAGTTACTATATTAAATGTTTATATTATGCTCTTTGCCCAGCTCAATTAGATGCTGCTTTACAAAAAAATATAGCTGTATAGACCACAAGAATAGTCTGTACAGCGTTTTCATTACTTTTGCCAAGCATCTGTTAATAACTCAGGGAATAAAGTACCCTCTGCCCACATCTCAAAAATAAAGACCTACATTATTCATTGTTTGTGTGCTGGTAGGAGATAGAGCCCCAGTCAGTGATCAGGGCCCCATACTAGTCCCTGTACATGTGTATAAAAGAAAGATTATCTGCTTGAAAGAGCTCACAGCTTAAAACAAATGAATCACCCCCTGCCTTGCGCTCTGGAGGCTGCTAAACTCTCCCCCTGGGGGATTGTCCAGGGGAGTGAATGCCAAAGGCCTCTAGGGAGAGCCCTGCTGCCAGCCCTGGAGCGTTCCATCCCAGGGACCCCGGGCAGAACCAACCCAGCTGAGCTGCTCTGTCACCGTGGGGAACAAGGGAGAGGAACAGGAATGACTGTAACAGGATTTGAGTTTAGTTCCATCACAGAGCACATGGATTCTAACACTGCCTCACCTGCATGGCTGCCCATAGGCACTGGCCATTACACTTTGAGACACTGAAAAGCAGCCTGGGGCCTTAGGAACTGCAGATCTCCAGATTTGCTGGCTCCTTGGCTGTTTGTATTGCACTGAACTTGTTTCTTTATCTCCAAGGCTATTTTTAATTAAAGTTCCTGCCTGGAACCCCAGAAATGTCTCATGGGGCCAGTCGGCTATTTGGGGGATAACATACTGGGCCAGCCTCTCTGCTGTGATCAGCTTTTAGTTACAGATCCTTGATTCTCTGTCCCAGCCCTAGCACAGGCTAGAGCAGCCTGGGGGCTGTTCTAACTTGTGCCCAGCTGCCGCTGGTCCCCAAAGAATGGTGCTGCAGCTGGGGATGCACTCCAGTCACCACTCCTCCCCACCTCTCTCTGTCCATGGCACTCTGCACTTCTCTGTTGGCTCTCCACTGACTGGGGACACCCCCACACTGGGGATTTCCTCAGATGGAGAGTTACAGGCTGTCTCTGCTCCCCTTGAGCCAGCTGAGTGGTGAAAAGGGAGTGGAGCAGGTGAGAGAATCTGGCCCACTGGGGGCATCGCTACTCTGAGTCCTCCAGGCTTCCTGCTGGGATTCAGAATTTGTCATTCTTGCCATCATCCCCTTTCTCCTTCTGCTCCTGCTGCTGCTGCCCTGTGGGAGACTCTCGGGTTTTACAGTAACTTTAGGTTTCCTACCTTTTTCTCTTCCTTCTCTGAGTTTAGCAGCAGAATCTGTGAGATTGATCTGAGTGAAAATGTCTATGGTTACATGTACTGCAGTGTCTCCACCCATAGAATTTCATCAGAAGGTTCTTAATATCTATCCTGTCGGCATTCTCCAGCAGACCCTGTGGGATATTACGTTTCCCTTCAAAGTCAGAGTGTGATAGTTTGTCTTTAAATATTTTCAAGTCTTCCTGAGAAAGGTCGTCGAGGGCTTGTAAGAGCAGGTCACTGATTCTGCTGCTTCGATTCCCATCCCTGAGTATCAGGAAAGAAAACTAAAATCCAAATAAATTGCTGTAAATAATTAATATGGAATAATCACAATATTTCCCATGCAGAAGAAATAACCTTAACCTTGGGGCTCATAACTCCTCGGTGCTTTGCCTCACAAAGGACTCACTGGACATTGTCTCTCTGTGCCTCAGTTTCCCCCTTTGTAAAGTGGGGATAATCACACAGCTCTAGCACACAGGGGCGGGGTGCAGCTCAGTTAATATCTGTAAAGGCTGTTGAGGCTCGAGGATGAAAGGTGCTATAATAATAGTATTTATCATCCAAATGGATTTCAGAGCACAGAGTTGGGACACCCCCCCCCCCCCGCCAATTTAAAATATTTCAGAAAACAACAAAAGGCAGTCTGGGGTCTGTACATCACAGTCCTGAATATCAGGACCTGTGTACTGAGACCCACTGTTACCTTTCCATGGCCTCAGGAGGGTGTTGGATATCAGAGCAGCAAGGTGAAGGGTAGCAATGGTAACTTCTGACATACTGACTCGGGCCCATTCTGACAGGTCCCACAACTGTATAAACTGTAACGTGTTCAAATTAGAAGTAGCCTATCCCCAGAGAGAGAGAATGATGTATTTACCGTTAGCCAGACGGCTATTGGAAACAACAGCTGGTAACCCTCAGCTGATTTGTTCTCTCAGTCTTCGCAATGCTCAAACACAGGCACCCAGAGAATCTAGAAAGAGGAAGAGGAAACAATTTGCTCAACGTTTATTACTGCAGTAAAGGAAAAGTGACACATTTCCAGTTAAAGCTGACCTTCAGAGCTCCCTGAATTTCTATAGCAGCCCTCTTCCCCCTCCCGGAACCTTCCTAGTACTAATTATACACACACACACACACACACCCCTCTTTTCTTCTGTTTTTTATTTTTCCTGGAAACTTGCCTTTTGGACATACCCCTTTGGCTTCAGCAGTTTGCACAACTGTTTCCTGTGAATAGTGACACCACAAACGCATCCATCTCTTTCTCTCCCACACACTCTGTACTGGGAGACAATAAAATACCCAGATTCAAAGGCGTGTAGAAGTTAAACCAAGACAACAAACAATGTATAAAGTAAAGCGTGAGGCAGAGAGTGGAGAATGCTCCCTGCATCTGCTCAATATACAAATAGTAGGGGGTGGGGCTTCAGTCCCTCTCACTCTGGTTTTTCTCTGAGGGGGTGGAGTCGCTGTTTTAAATTAAAAGTAATGAAAACAGGGTTTTTAAAAAAAAACATTAAGGAAGCAGAAGTGGATCTTCATGGACCAGGAATTTCATAAGGTTGCAAAGTGACCACGAAACAGCTTTACAAGTCTCTTTTACAGTTACTCAGGAGGAAGTTGCTGCTTGATAAGTCACGGAAGGGAGGAGGCGTTTCTGACACACTCCTGTGAGATTCTTTATTGCCATTTTCTTTCTGGGGCAAGCTCCTTTATTCCCTCGAAGATTTGCTCCTCTTTGGGTGCAAGGCCCCCAGTGCTGGCTCACACACCGGCACCATTTGGGGCTTTGTGTTATCATTGTGGTTTCAGTTACAATAAAAATATATCACGTTTGCTGTCTGCGTTTGCAGCTCCCAGAAACTCCTGTCCCTGCTGAGAAGTGGAAACAGGACGTTCACCGTTCATTTCAGCTGAGAAATGAGAAGAATGGTGACAAGGAATCCACGGGTCCCACTCCGCTTAGGATGGCCAGAGAATGGGGGGCTTCTGCCTGGTTTGACAGCAGGGCTCTGATCCTCAGCTGGGGTAAGTCAGCACAGCTCTGCTGACATCAATGGAGACACCCACATTTACACCAGCTGAGGATCTGGCCAAGGACGGAGTCTCTGCTGAAAAGGATGGAGGGGCTGGGAAGAATGCCGGGAGGTCGCCAGTACATGGGTCCCTACATGAGGGGCCTGGATTTGCTCATATCAAACCTCCACATAGAGTGACTAAGGTAACAGATGAGGTCTCTGCAGCAGTGGTTGAGATTGGTGATGTGGGTACAATGGCTCCTCTCTCTGCTTGGTCTCCTATTGCGTCCATGAGCCTGTGCTCGCACCTCCAGCCCAGACACACTCCCCAGGACACCTCCTTCAGGAACGGCTCTTATACACATGCCGTGTTCTCCCTTTTATCCAAAACCCTGTCGTCTGAACCGCTGCATGATCCCAATCCCTGCCTTGTCCCCCAGCCTGAGACACGCCCCCTCGGAAGCATGTATCTCAGGCTAGGGGACAAGGAAGGGAGTCAGATAATGCAGAGGTAACAGAGCAGAGACCTTGCACCTGCAGGGATCAGGTGTCACCGGCCCTGTGGCAGCTCAGGGAATGGAGGGAACTATCACAAGAATGAGTGAGCAGGGCCACGACGGCCTAGGCCTGCAGAGAGCTCCCTGCGCTGCCACTGGGCCATTGACACCTGCTCCCTCCAGGTGCAGGGTGCAGAAGGGAGGCTACAGTCCATGGGGAGCAGCGCAGAGACGCCTGGCCAGGATTCTGCTCTGCCCCGCCAGGACTGCAGCCTTCCCTGCACCTTGTGCCTGCAGGGATGAGATGTCACTGGGCCTGCCACACAGCAGGGAGCCCTCTGCAGTCCCGCTGTCCTGGAATTGAGTGAAAGGGGCCATGCCTCTGCCTCTCAGTTATCCAAACTCCTGGGGATTCGAATAATATCTGTGTTATCGCCATTTGAGGCACGGAAATTAAGGCTGAAATTTTCAGGTGTCCACTCATTTTGGGAGCTCAACTTGGGTTACCTGGGGCCTGAATTTCCAGAGTATTTACCATTTTAAAGCACATTATATGTTCAAACCATGGCTCCAATAGATGTCAGTTGCAGGTATAACACCAACAGACGTCGGTGGGCAGGATCGAACCTGGGGCCCCTGGTGTTTAGTGTATGAGCTTCTACTGCATGAGCTAAAAGCCACATGGCTGTTAGCTAAGGCTGTAGCAGACTCATTAATCTCTAAGTGGTCTTGAGGGGACAAAGCACCACATCCATGAGGTGTGTGGGTTACACACTGCCCCTAGCTGAGGAAGCATGCACCGAGCTTCAGAGACTTCCCAGTTGAAATCCCGGACGAGCCCTGCCCCCCTCCCCCCCCTTGTAACGCCGACAGACCCCAGTTGTTGGCAGACAGGATTGAACCTGGGACCTTACTGAGTGAGCCTCCACTGCATGAGCTAAAAGCCACATGGCCCTTAGCTAAGGCTGTAGCAGACTCGTTAATTTCTAGGTGGTCTTGGTGCCACTTGAGGGGACAGAACACCACACCCAGAAGGTGTGTGGGTTACACAGTCATGAGCGCTCAGCACTTCTGCAAATCTGGCCCCACGTGTCTCACACGTTAGGCACCCAGAAAATGAGAAACACACAATTAGTGGCCAGTTGTGAACACTTTGTGAACACATGGACATTCTGTGGCAGAGGCAGGGATAGAATCCAGTTCTCTGGGGCAACATTCACCTGCCTTTACTATGAAACCATCCTTTTCTCTTCCTGCAGTCCCCTGCCTCGTCCACTACACACCTTTCAATTTCTGCAACAAATGAGGCACGGGTCCTATGGGCAACAGCCTTCTTCACGACACAGCCCTGATTTGTTCCCAGAGCAGGTCCATGCTATGCACTGAATGAGGTATGGTCTTGTGGAAAAACGCAGGATTTAATTATGTAATTAACTGCAGCATAATAATGCAGATACACAAGGAGCCTGAATTAAGATTGCACAGACAACCTTAATTTTGGCATTTAACTTTTGAGTGCTTGATTTTACAACTTGAATGTTCTTTTTAAACCATTTTTTTGGGATGAATTATATTTACAGGTGTGACAGTTCGGGACTCCTGGGATGTCACCTGAGGTGTTTAAGATACAACTGAGCCCAGCTTCTCTGCCAGCCTGGGCCCCCTTTTACCTGGTCTTGCTGAAGCCAGGCTCTCAAGCCTCCTCTGGAAAAGCTCACAGGCAGGGCCACAACCAGCTGCCGATACAGGCACTAAGAACAGCTCTGGGAAGACTCAGCTTAAGGGATTTGCCACAACACACAGAAGATCACCCACCACCCCTTGGGGTACAAACCCAAAGTTATATGAAGTTAGCCTCCTTCCTCAATGTGAAGGAAGGTATGCACAGCCTCTTCCCCTGCTCCCCCGAGTTAGAAATTACATAAACTGGGTTATATTATAAACCAGAAATAAGTTTATTAACTATGAAAAGTTGTATTTTAAGTGGTCAAAGAGGTAGCAAACAGAGTAAAGCAGATTACTATGAAAATAATACAAAGCACGCAACCTAAGTGAGATACACTAAAGAAACTTGTTACATGTAAGTTCTCATCCTAAATGTGGTTCTAATAATCTTCTTCACAGGCCAGACACCCTTCCAGCCTGGGCCCAGTTCCTTCCCCCAGTTTAGTTGTTTCTAGCAGTCATCTTGGGTGGGGTAGCTGGGGAGAACAGACAACCTGGATTACCTCACTCCCCACCCTTAAATAGGATTTTCATAAGGCAGGAGTCCTTTGTTTCCTAGTTTGACACACACACCCCCAGTTTCTCATGGAAAAGTACACAATTCAAGATGGGTTCCAGGATCAGGTGACATGGTCACATGTCTCTATAGGGCCCCTGTAGCCATTCTTCACAGGCTGACCCACACGTTCACAGGAAGACTAAGCTCTTTTACAGCCCATTGTCTCTTGCTGATGGGCCATCAGCACTGTTGGGCTTTTTCATTGTTGTACATGAAGGGCCAGTAACAGGCTTCACCCAGCATAAACACATTGGTAATATAAATCTACAGTCCATGTTCCTAATTCCAGATACAGAAATGATACTTGCATACAAATAGGATAATCATATTCACTACATCATAACCTTTCCAATGACACCTTACATGAGCCATCTTGCATAAAGTGTATCTCAGTTATGTCCGATTCATACATAAGCATATTTCCATAAAGCATATGGAATGCCACGTCACAATAGGTGCAGTTCAGATGGCAAGCAATTAACCCCCCAGAAAGGAGTGTAGCTACATTTCTGGAATGGCAGAGTAATAAGCAACTATCTAGGCAGCAATGTTAAATGTCTTAGATTTGGACGTCATGATGCACGAGAAGTAAGATTTTTGTCAGATTTGTGTGACTGCAACCAAATTGTTGTACACATTTGGGGCCATATTCTGCCATCTCTTCTCATGTTGATTTCAGTGGGACTATGTGTGGGTAAGGTGACTCCAGGAGAGTAAAGGCGGGGGTGGGGGGTGTGGACTCCAGCCCTAACAAATTAAACAACGTTTTGGTGAACAACAATTCGTCCTCAAACCTCTAAAAACTTCCACTACATTGATAGACAAACGAAAGTAAATAAAGTCAGTCAGGTCCCTGAAAAGCCTCTCACAGAAAGTGACAAATGCTCAGCTAAATAAAAATGATCCCCCTGCACCTAATTACACCCATCTACCAGCTACAGACTTAGGGCACAGGGTCAGAAACAAAATCCTCTTTTCTACCTGTAATCAGCGGCAGGTGCAATTTTGTGGGGGCAAATCATTGTAGGCACAACTGGTGTCAGGCCTGGAGCCTGCAAAGGGACAGATGGACCCATGCTTACTCATGCAGAGAGATTCCTTTGCAGGATTGTGGACTTAGATGACTGATTAACTGATGGTGCCCCAAATCCGACAGACAT